CAAATTATCGTATAAAAATATTATCTCTACAAATGAAACTTCAACAAGCTTTGTTTTTTATAAAGTTGCATCGAACAACATACAATTGAAAAATATATATTAGGAATGTTTTTGGTGATTCTGAAATCTTCAAAATTCCTTCACTCGTAATAAAAATCATTACAGTCTTTAATAACTTGCGCTGACAGAAGTTCTCTCGCAACTCCAAAGGCAACAAAAATATTCAAGATGGACCAAATTATCGTATAAAAATATTATCTCTACAAATGAAACTTCAACAAGCTTTGTTTTTTATAAAGTTGCATCGAACAACACACAATTGAAAAATATATATTAGGAATGTTTCTGGTGATTCTGAAATCTTCAAAATTCCTTCACTCGTAATAAAAATCATTACAGTCTTTAATAACTTGCGCTGACAGAAGTTCTCTCGCAGCTCCAAAGGCAACAAAAATATTCAAGATGGACCAAATTATCGTATAGAAATATTATCTCTACAAATAAAACATCTGTCGCGAATAAAAATTCCTGTATATTTATGTAATATCGAGAGCTGGGAAAGGAAACGTCTCGAGACAAAGCTTTCGATCGAAAGTAAACCGGCAGCCCGTGCACCAACTTCGGTCGGTGTTTCAACTACGGAACGATTGGAAATCAGCCTTTCGGTTTGCTGTTTGCTGATGGATTCAATTCGAGACGTTATATCGCCGGCGTTCTTCCCCCGAAGAAAGAAAGATCGAGCGCGATATCCACGAGTCGGAAACTTCCCCGCCAAGGACTCGCCAGTCTCCGGCGAGTTTATCAATAACGAAAGCGAACGGTTCGAAAGGACGAGCACGCAGGAAGCTGCCTTTTAAAAGTTCCGCGGCAGACGACGCCGGGCGTAATGTTCGTGGGATAAGGAATATTGGGAATCACGGATCAACTTCGAAATGACTTTCGCCGAACCCCGTTCGCGAGATTGTTCGCGAGTATTCTTTGTCCCGACGGTCGCGCAACTGGATATTTAAACCCACTAGTCAAAGTTCCCGCGCAAAACAATCATTACGCAATCTCTCGGGGCAAAATTTTGATCTCATTTTGTTATGCCGACATGCAAGCGTTTCAACGACGCTAATGTCCGTGTTATTGCACGCAGTGGATTAACTTCTTGATTCGAATTAAAATTCGATATGACCAAAAAAATATTTATTCCTCCCACTTTCTGTTCATTCTGTTCACTACTTTTCCTATCATTTTTTTTTTTAACTTTAGCAGCTAACTCATATTTTTATAAAATTTACACGTTTATAAAAATATTTTATATGCTTACAAAATTGTAAGACACCCTGCAAAATTGCTGATACAAACGTCTTCGTTATACTTGTCGTAAACAATGTTACGTACAAATTAAAATGATGTGATTTTAATTAACATTTCCGTAAATTAAACGAATGTTTCAGCAAATTCTTAATTGAAACAAGAATAACGTAACTTTACTTGGATAAAATTATATTATAAGGCACTAACAAAGAAAACAAAAATAGTTTTCGTAATTAAACTAAATTTTCAAGTCTTTTTTAACGTTAATAGTGGTTAACAGTTAATCCTCCTTTACTTCGATCTTTCGACTTTTTTTTGAATAATTTCTTTGTATAACATTGAACTAAATTCCTCCACTTATATACCTAACGCAAGTATTATGGCCACGACACTCTCAACAGTGAAGAGATCAACGCAGTGGAGGGGGTAGCGTTACCAAAGTGGGGGCAAGGGCCGCCAGTTAACCACCTCTGGCTTTGACAATCCGTGTAAAACGGGCTCGCGTGCAGCGGAGGGGAGAATCTAGCCACAGTCACAATTAAAATAACTAATAAAACAGAGAAAACGCCAATCCGTTAGTCGAAAGCCCAAGTTGCTCAAATAAAGTACTCACTCTCATTCCCCCGACAGTGGGTGGAACTCGAGAGGAACAGGAAATATTCGAAAGGTGCACGCCAGTCGTGAGTGACTTTTTAACAATTTCAATCATGCGTTACAAAGTTCCCAAAACGCTAAAGCCAACTAAACGAGAAAAAGAGATCTCCCGCAGCGGCCGACAGACTAACGGAAAAACAATTTCCAGGGCAGAGGCATTTAAAATTCCAGCGAAGCCACGAAAGCGAAAGCCGCGGAAGAAACGTGGAGGAGCGAGGTAATCTCGGCGAGCATTATGTGTAGCATAGTTTCGCGTCGAGTTGCCGACGAATCCGCGCGGAGAACGAACGAGCATCTCGCGTGTGCACGCGGCTCTGTGCATCAGCGCCGGCTAATGTATTAGAGGCCGTTAGTTAAAGGTTGGCTCTGATGGCAGTCTCGTCTTCCGAGTGCCTTTTCTTGTTCCCGTGCGCTCGGTATTTCGCCCGCGTGCCGCGAAAGCCCGACTCCGGGTCGGATAGCTGGTCTGGATAGGCATCTTTAATCGATGAGAACGTAAGAGGATCGGCGCTTAACTTGGAATTAAGAGTCGAGGCGCGTGCACGTGTCGCGGACGCGGACGCGTGACGAGAATCGGCGAGCCGGTTCTTCCCCTGGTTTTCGCCTTGCGTCCGCGCGTGGTTTTGTATCGGGCGACGTAATGTATTCGAATAGCCGGTGGATTATCAGAACAGACGGCTGCCCTCGATACCTCGAATATTTCGCGCTGATCTAGCCGAATCTGGCAAACGACGTGGTCGCATTCTGGACGTGCGCGGTACTGTTTTTTGTCGAGTCCTTTGCCGATCTTTCTTTCTCTCGATAGCCGAATAATCTGCGATTTCAATTGTATTTTAATTCTAGAATTGTAATTTGTAATTAAAAATAATCTATTTGCAATTATTATTGGGTATTTTACAGACGTAAAACAATGTGCTTTTAGAAATTTAAATGATCTTTGTTTTCTTTTATTTTTTCTCGAGTCACGATTCTTTTTCTTAATAATCAAATAATCTGCGATTCTTGCATTTTAATTCTAGAATTGTAATTTGTAATTAAAAATAATCGATTTACAATTATTGTTGGGTATTTTACAGACGTGAAACAGTGTGCTTTTAGAGATTTAAATGATCTTTGTTTTCTTTTATTTTTTCTCGAGTCACGATTCTTTTTCTTAATAATCAAATAATCTGTGATTCTTGCATTTTAATTCTAGAATTGTAATTTGTAATTAAAAATAATCGATTTACAATTATTGTTGGGTATTTTACAGACGTGAAACAGTGTGCTTTTAGAGATTTAAATGATCTTTGTTTTCTTTTCTTTTTTCTCGAGTCACGATTCTTTTTCTTAATAACCAAATAATCTGCGATTCTTGCATTTTAATTCTAGAATTGTAGATTTATAATTATTGATATGGTATTTTACAGATGTAAAATAGTATACTTTTAGAGAGATTTCAATGATTATTCATTAAATGTACGAATAAAACTTTTTCTCTGGTCACGATTCTTTTCCCTGATAGTCAAACAATCTATAATTCTTCCATTTTAATTCTAGAATTGTAGATTTATAATAAAAAAATGACCAATTTCTAACTGTTGTTAAATATTCTACACATGTAAAACAGTGTATTTTTGGAGATTTATAATTATTCATCAAACGTACGAATAAAAGCTTTCCTTTTTTACTTCAACGTCTCTGAATGTTGTGCTTTAATCGTCGTTTTCTCGAAAACGTCACAGCTACTAATGAGATGTCCCATTGTAGTAATATTGAAATAAATAAATAGAAAAGATCTACGTGACAGAATTTCGTGCAAAAATAATTGCAATTAAAAATAACCACGGTGGCGACTCTGTACATAGAAAATACTTTGCCATTCCCTCGAGGATATAAATTTTATTTAAGAGAACGGATGAATAACGACGAATTTTCTTTTGATGATTAATTGGGAATATCTGCAATCAACGACATCAAAGACCTTGTTAAGTTATTATCGTAAGAACGAAGAAAGAACATTATCAGATTTGGCTGAATCAATTAAACGAAATAAAATAACGGCCGTGATCGTCCGTCAGTTAATCGAGTGAATTATCAATGGACAGATAAAAGTAAAGGACTGCAACGTAATCGAATAATAATATTGTTTCTTCGTTCGCGTTACTGAACCGAACGCGATGTTCCCGTTTCGTTAAATCGCCGCCTCGGGTTCACGTAATACATCTATTCAACGATGAAAGTAGAATCGTATTTATAAATCAAGAGAGATATTTAATTAGCGGATGAAATCGCGCGAGAAAATAGATGACCCTCGTGTCACGCGTAATTAGCATTTGCTCTAAAGGGGGAGAAGAAATTAGCCGTACAAAACGTTACTTAACATCGCGTTACCACATCTCTCTTTTAATCCCTCGCACTGCAACGAGCCATACCCGTCATGTAATGTTAAAGTTCAATTTCAACAGCAGCGTTAATCTCAATTCTCGACGCCAGGCATCAGCGAATGCAAATTGCGTGCTTTGCCTTACTGATTTGCCTCAGACACAGTCTGAAATGCCAAAGTTTTGTTAAAAATGAGAAAAAAAAAAATCTAGCACGTTTGTGTAAGAGCGTAGACAGAGATTAAAGATAAGATGAGGGATTAAAATATCTAGAACATTTTCATCCTATCTACATATTTAACGACAGAATTAACAAACAACGATAATGTATAAAAACTTTGATTTGAAGTTTGCACGATTTTTCATAAAATACATCCCATCGCTTTCGTTTCGTTTGTACGGAAGTTCAATATTGTAGTTGTTAATCAGAGTGTGGCAAAGTTTCATTTCAAATAAAAAAAATGACCTAGTACTTTCCTTTCGACCGAAAGGAAATTGTACGGTAGGAAATGAAAAAGTCTAGAATACTTCCAGTAACAACAATAACTCGTACCACAATTTTTTAAAAATTCGTACCACGTTTCGTAAAGTGCACGAATGAAAATTATTCCAATTATACCCACCCAAAAAAAAAAAAAATATATATATATATATAATGTAAAAGTCTTGATAAAGACTCACCGATTTTTCGTCGTTGCCTGGAAAAGCCCGGCGTGGCAGTCATCGCGCAGTCCGCGTAGGAAATCCCAGCGTGTACGGTCCTGGAACAGAGAGATCGTTCTCGCATTAAACGTCAATTAGAGATCGTTGGCGTCGCTGTCGAATAAGAACGGCCGATTTGACGCATCGGGCGCAGTTCGAAGAAGCATCGAGGCGCGCGGCTCGTGCCGTTGTGCTGCAAACGTTTGGCACGTGTTGCACCGGAACTTCACAACGTTTAACGGCCCGATAAAATCTCAATTATAGTCGCTGGCGTGTCCTATGAGCTGCTGGCGACCATGTACACCGACGAGCCACACGATCAACGAGCAAACGCGAACGAAATTTACCGTTTCCTATTCCACTTTATCCTCTTTCGAGTTCGTCAAAAAAAAAACAAAAATATCTGAGTCCTCTTAGACTCTATAGATATACAGATGTTCTGTCTCTGAATCATATTCGGTGAACGTAAGATTTTTTTTTTTTTTTTTTTTGAGTAGTTAACACTCTGATTTGTAATTTATTCTAAAGCACAATATTTATGAAATGATCGAATGTTATATTTTACGAAAGTATATATATTATGGAAGAATAAATATAATAAAAGATGTATAATATATATAAATATATATAAAATATATATATTATGGAATAATAGATAATATTTATGAAGATATGGAGAATTAATTTATTTTTAATGACAAGAGAGTCGATTTGATAGGTTTGTAAAATGTGCAACTCTTTCGTCAGCCCTTATTTATGTAACATATCTCTGTATATTTATTATTCTGTTATTTTTTTAGAATTTAGAATACTTGGAAATGGACTGCGTAATTTCCAGGAACACGTTCCACAGACGTGTCGTTCAGCCAGTCTACGTGTCGTTAGTTTAACCTTATTGTCAGTGTCGAGACGTAGAAGCGGACGTAAAAGTGGTACACGCGTGGATCTCCGGCGCGAAATGAAATATTTTATTGTTCCCGCGAGTTCGAAGTAACACGTACAAATTATAGAGAAGACGTCCATAAGTGGCTTTAAAATTGTCAAGTATCACCGTGGCTTTAGCGAGCTGCGAACGCAACCGAGGAGATAGAAAACTCGAGCGGAGACTCGTTTCACCCATTATAAGTGTTACAAACTCTACACCCTCGTTCTTATATTTATAAATACACTTGTCTTCTCAAGTACATCTTACAACAACTTCGACATTTTTGGCTTCTTACGCATATCTAGTAAATTATTTATTGGAAAGTAAAAATTAATAAGTAACGTTTCATTGTTTATAATATGCGACATTAGAAAATTTAAATCGATCAGGAATGCTATCTTCTTCAAGGATTTGTCTGCTAAATAGACAATTTCCACTACGTATAATATTACTTTTACCTTCCTCTTACTATCAGTAAAATCACTGGATTGAAGCCTCCTTGCTTTTTCATGTTTTGATAGAATAGTGTCACTATCATCAGAATCAATGTCCCCCACGTCTCAAAACAATCACTATCTAAATTATTTTTATATCGATCAAAAGCAAAAACAATTCATCGTCGCTACTACCTTCAAATAACTCGCTTCCTATTATATTTTTTCACACGATATACGAACAGAGGTGGCTAACTGGCGGCCCGTGAGCACACGCCCCCACTTTCCCGATCGCTAGCGCTACCCCCTCCACTAGCTTAGCAAGGAAATCAACAGACTGAGAGAGTGAGGCTCATACACGGCGAGAAAATTTCAACGTAGTGGACGATGAAGTGGAGGGGATAACGCTAGCGATCAGGAAAATGGGCCGCCAGTTAGCCATCTCTGGCTTAAAGAACTTTCACGCTTTCTCGCTACCACGGCCAGTCCATTTCTTCTCGTCGACTTTTCCTCATCGTGTAAACGGACCTATTCAGAGTTTGAGAAACTCTATTTCTCGCCTTAACCGGTTTTTGTTTCAGAGTTTGAGTTAAATTCAACGGAATTTATCAACAATATTTTTATCTCCTCTCCTGCCACATCATCAAATATTGTCTGTTCCTGAGAAGAGTACTCAGAATGCAACGCAAAGTATTACTTATCTATGCACGAGAGGAGTACACGGAGCGCAACGAGTTCAAACACTCGAAGTGACCTCTCACCTGATGTATTTTGGAGGATCTTCGAGCTCGTCGCTCACGACGCACACGCGCCGACACGGTCCAACCATTGACACGAGGAATTTGCGTCGGAGCGTTTCCGCCTGGCCTGGTTGTTAACGGCGGGCGTAATTAATGGGAGTGCGCGGAACTCGTCGAGTGCGAACTCCGGCGAAAATCCGGCAGGCTTATCCGTCGATAAAATCTCAATTAGAGGCCGCGACGCGACGCGGCACCGGGGGCAAGGTGTTCGCGAATTGATGCGAGAGCGGCATAATCGTCGGACAGATAGTCCGGGGGAAAACAAGGCGGCAGGCTTGGGAAAAGGGTAATTATCCCGCGAGCGCATTGGTTAATGGCGCGGCCGCTGCAATTTCAACCATGCACAATGAACCCCGGGGGTATCTGCCGGCGGATTTAAGCCTTTATGTAAAGATACCGGCGTGGAATCTCCCGCCAGTTTATCTCGCAGGGCGTTCAATGGCCACAGTTTCGAGGGGCCATTTTCTTTGTGCTTGCCACCGGCTCGATGACGTCTAGAATGCTCGCGTCCGCGTCTAAACGGTCCGTATATATAGTTCACGTTCACGAACAGAGATCGACGTGGGAGCAGAGCAATGATAAAGATCGAATCGAGTTAGTTTCTTTTTCTTTGTTGAACATAATTCTCGCGTGAAGGAAAATACTTTGTAATTCTCTTGTAAGTCGTAGATAGGGAACAAGTTAAAGTAAATGTGATACAACGAGAGATCTTTTTAGAATCACTTTCAGACTTGCAAGAATTAGTCTTCATTTTGGTCTTAGAATTGATAATTCATTTAAAATAATTAATGAATCATTTGCGATGGACGACGTCGATTTTTATATTATTTATTTTCCAAGTTTACGCATCGTCTTGATGCTTTTGCCAAAATGTCGTCTGAACTGTTAACCCTGTTGAGAGGAGTTTAGAGAAGCGTTTCAACGATCCATGCGAGCAGTAAGCAGTCCGCTCTCCGTTGTATTGACCGATGTATAAAATTTTCGAGTCTGCAGCTCGAACTTCAATTTCCCACAAACTACTACAAACTTTCGTTCGTCATCATCCTCGTTAAACGTGAGTTTCGTCGTAGCCTCGACACGATCTCGAAATCCCAGGTATTTCGAGCGGTTCCTAACCGGCCACAATCGGCCAGACTCGCGGAGTGGCCACGAAGACGAACGCCTGGCACATCAGGCGAGAACAGGAAGGAAGGAAGGAAGGAAGGAACGAACGACAATTTCCCTAAAGTGTTTCTGTGACTTATTGGCGGTGGGAAACCAACGCGTGTCCGAATCCCTTTTCCGCCTGGTCGCTAGCATTTTCGAGAGGCGAAATTTCAGCCTATCTAAGGGTGAATAGCAAAGCGCTCGGCACTCGGGATGGAAGTTTTGACAAATTGAAGCAGCTGCTGAAGGGCGCCACTCTCGTCACTCGCAGAATTTTGATAGAAGGTTAAATAAAGTTACAGATCGAAATTCGCGGTTCATCGGATATCACTTGAACAGAACTGCTGTGATTGAAAGCGAAAAATTCGCTTCCCGACGTCGGTGTCATTCGTGTGCATTCACGCGCGCTGGTGTTTCGCGTAAAACATTCGCGAAATACACGTCGCGAGCATATTACGGAGGAAATCCATTAATTCTGCAATATTTTTTTCATTTGTGAGAGATGCATTTCCTAATGTTACGGAGAAAATTATTTCGAGGTGATTGTATGATTGCTGCAATATTACATATGTATATACGAAACAGAAAATGATCGAGAAACTAAAATATCCTTATTAAGTAATTTATAAGACTATATTTAAGTCTTATAAATTACTTAATAAGGATATTTTAAATCCTTAAAATTTTTAAGGATTAAAATAATTGAAATAATGAAATAATAAATTAGTAAAAAAACTAAATAATAAATTAATAAGAAATATCATTGGAACAAAATTAAATGAAAACTATCGATATTAAGAAAAGTAATAACAACAGTTACAAAATAAAATAAGTAAAATAAATTAATTAAGAAACATTATTGAAACAAAATTAAATGAGAAATATCAATATTAAGAGAATACTGTGACAATTAACTTGTTGGACAGCCACGTAAATCAAGTGTGTAATCTGACCGTGGTTTCAAAGAATCGAGTCGCATATTCAAATCGACCAGAACCGCGATCACTCTGATTAGAAACACTGACGGACAATCAAACTTCAATCACCGACAATGTACGCCAATAAATTGCCCCTGTTCTTTGTACTATTGTTTCAACCTTCAATTTCCTCGATGCGATCTCCATCCTCTTATACTTCTCATATATTGTTTCTTGACAATTTTCTATTATATATATATATATAATAGAAAATTGTCAAGAAACTAAAATGGCCCTTACAACAGGCATGTCCAACCTGTGCTGTATAACCAAAATTGGAATAACCGAATAAGAATTTTATTATTTGAATAATTTAAAATTTGCAGGTAGCAACGCTGCAAATTTTAATCATGAATGCCTATGATGTCCCTTTCTGGGAATGCTTATATTTGCGAGCAGATTTTTTCCCAGAAAAATCTTGGAGATACTCTTCGTATTGTCACTACCTGTATCAAACCAGACATTGATGAACTGCTATCTAAAAAAACAAGCTCAATGTTCTCATTAAAAATTTTCATATTTTTTTCATATTTTTCCAATGTATTGTTTCACTATAAAAGTGGTTGCTCAATATCTTCATAAATAGATTATATTGAACTAATAAAAAAAAAATATGTATCCTAAATATAAAAGAAAATATAAATCCTCATAACTGATAAAAAAAAATATATAAACTGATAAAAAAAAATATATAAACTACGTGCGGACCTCGACAAATTTTTGTTGGCCAATAAGGCGCAGAAGATCTAGAAGGTTGGAACCCATGCCTTGGAAGAA